GCTAAAGTTTGGTATAACATCAGCTAAAGTTTGGTATGACATCAGCTAAAGTTTGGTATGACATCAGCTAAAGTTTTGTGTTTAGTAGCTAAAGTTTTGTGATTTCAGTTAAGATTCGGTGTGTTAGGAGCTAATGTTTGACTTGCCTGCTGTTACAATGATCCACCTGAAACAAGCTGCCCTCTGATTGGTTCCTGATGAATATAATGAGCCAATCAGTGAAGAGGAGAAATTCGGCTGCAGATTTCAGTCATTTTCACAAGAATCAAAGTAAAAACAGTAAGATGAATCTGTTGACCACAGAATAAAGGTGATAACAGCTGTCAATCATCAGGAGATAAACACCAACATCCTGCTGCATCAGAGTAAACAAATATTCTGCAGTAAACATGAGGCTGACAGCCAATCAGATAATCAGACACGACGTCATCATCTCCAGGATTTAACCTCACGAGACGAGACGCCATCATTAAAGCAGCCGACAAACAACAAACATCAAGAACCAACCTGCTGCTGGACGAGCTCCGTGTCTGCAGGAGGAGGAGGAGGAGGAGGAGAAGGAGGATGCTGCAGCAAGACGGGAGGAGGGGGAGGGGAAAGAGGAAGAGGAGGAGGGGGAGGGGAAAGAGGAAGAGGAGGGAGAGGGAAAAGAGGAAGAGGAGGAAGAGGAGGAGGGGGAGGGGAAAGAGGAAGAGGAGGAGGAGGAGGGAAAAGAGGAGGATGAAGAGGAGGAGGAGGAGGGTCAACAGAAGCAGGAGTTCAGTGTTTTATTGTAAAAACTAAAACAGCAGAGAGATGAGATCTAGTCTGGAGGAGAACTCAAGGTCCTGCTGGTCCTCCTGAGGGTCTACGGACCTGGACTCTGTTAGGAGGTCCATGGGTCTAAGTCTGGATAAACAGCTGAAGAAACACAAGGTCCAGTTCAACAGTTCAGGACTCTGGTCTCAGAGCAGAACCCTAACCCCCAAAACAAGGAGGTCCAGATGTTGGTACAGGTCTACAGAGAACTGGTCTTGGTGTTGGAACAGGAACAGGTCTACAGAGAACTGGTCTTGGTGTTGGAACAGGAACAGGTCTACAGAGAACTGGTCT